AAACCATTATACCCTGATTTCCCATTTTCAATGGGTTCAGGGTATAAAAACCCTTAAAAAAAGAGAAAGTGTCGCGATCGTTGCAACATTTTGTAAATGTAAATGTGACCCAAAAGCCTGAGAAAGCAGCGCGAAAGAAGAGAGAAAAAATCAAAAAGAAATAAAATAACATGAGCTAAAAAAAAAACACTCATGCTGCTGTTGAGATACATTTGTATCTTTTTGTTGTCGTGCTGCATGAACATCCGTTTTCGACGCGCATTTAGCTGTCGGCTTCAATTTTCACTTGTCTGTTGGAATTTAGCCGGTATAAGGTCAACTCATAAGACTTAGCCACGTGCCATTATGGCCAATTACAGCTGCAATTAAGTTAAGCAATGTAAACAATGTGTGAGTAAATTGCAGCTAACTGAAATTAACATGCAAATAAATCGTTGAATAAAGTCAAATTTTGTTAACTACTTTTTTTTTTTTTTAATTGTGTATTATAATGTATGACATACATATGTATATAGTGAAAGCTCTTGCATTTGTAAATATACAAGTTTATTGTTTATTTATTTATTTATTTACGCCTTCACTTACATATCATCTGAAATACTTTTTCATAATATATGAAATTCAATGTTTTTTATAAGTTCATAAATATCTCATGCTCATCACATTGCTCAACACTTGCTAAATAATAACTATTGTATAAAATACGCCACCTTGATTAATGTGGTAACGCCCACAGGCCCGGCAAAATGCATTAACCTGTTAATTTATTTATAAAATTCAATGTTCACGCGGCTAAGCGCCAGAGCACAGCTCACAAACCGTTCTCAATGCAAAGTAGCTACAAAACAACAACAACAACAACAACATTGATGATAATAATAATAAAAACAAGAATAACAACAACAACAACAGCAACAACTAGGGGCAGGCAGTTGAGTTGGTTTTGTTGTTGTTATGTTTGTATTTTGTAGGTCAGGGTTGTCGCGTGTAATGCAAAACGTGCCAGCAAATTGAATGAATAAAACGCGCTCTGTTTGCCTGCTTGCAACCACACAAAAACAACAACAACAACAAACAAGGCAACAGACTACGCTAATACGACACCGAAATTGCATAAATTATAAATAATAATAAAAACACATAAACTGCAACGCGAATCGTATGCATTTTTAAGAGCTTAAGGGTTCATGCCTTGCACTTGGCGCAAGCAAGCTCATCATTTATTTAAGCAATAGATATAAATAGTTGAAATAGAAGCGTTAATAAATTGTTGGCACGCGATGCAACAGCTGCAGCCATAGCCAGGTCTAGCCATGTCACCCAGGTGCCAATGGGTTGCAAGGTACATTGATTTTGTTTGCTGTGAATGTATAAGGCTTATTATTCTTTCTCGAGGCTTTAAAGTAGGTGCAATTATAGAAAATATACTCTGTAAAGAATAAATTCTTGATCAGCATTCGTCATTGCAGATCGAAAGTGTAGTCTTCTCTTCCTATACTATATGTCTTGCAGATCTAGGCGAAAAATTTCCTATTGACTCAGCCGGAATTCAGTCAGGGTATCTGCTCACACTTGTTGTATATTACAGGCAAATATAAGCGGATTAAAATATTCAAATATTCATATATTGTCATCGATTTGCTACAGTTAAATTAGTTTATATGATTGCTGCGACTATGATGAGGTTATTCGTTGTCGAAGCGTGTCTAAAGCTCATTACAAGTGTTTAAAATTCTAAATCGATTTTCCGCGCTATTAGACACATTGTCTATTAGCAACTGACAGATTGTTTATAATCAATTTGTTATTGGTATATAAACAACAGTTTTGGTCACATCATTTCTATATATTTGTATTTATTCATATGTTTCTAAATGTATACAATGATTAAAGCTATTCAAGGACGTGGAACAGAACGTTTAGAGACTTGTGCTATTTGATAAGCGCATTATGGACATTTATCGATTGAAAGATAAACGAAAATAATTGTTTTTGTTAGTGCCTCAGTTTTTTATTTTATTTATTTTTTTTTTTTAGCATTTTTAAACAAACTACATTTTTAAAGCAACTTGAATAGTAAACAGTAATTGTGAATAACATTTTGTAATTGTATCTATTCATTGATGTTCATGTAATTTGTATTTTATATTCATACATTTGTGTTCTACTACAATTTCGGATAACATTTTGATGGAAAACATTTTATGGTTGAGAATTTTCCCTTGGCAACAATACATAATTGCATATATTTATTGGTATGAATAATTCACACTCTTATCATAAATTGTCCATTAATGGAGCAATATATCAAGCAACTATAGGGAAATAATATTTTATATATTTATATTTTTAATTTCTTTCTTCAAAAATTTAATATACTATTTACTTAAGTCTGTAATCGTTATCACCGATATGGCTTAGTCATCAGATAGATTACGTGCAGCATTTAACAGGCATTAATCACAAGTTTTTAGTATTCCTATGATTTCATCATCACTAATCTTAAATATTTCTATTCTATATCATCATATTCTTAAGAATATGTTTTAATATTTAATTGATAACGATGCAAATTATAATTTGTATTACTTTATATAAAGTCAAAGATTTGCTTATTAGATTATGTTGATTCTCGCTTGCAAATGAATTATAAAAATAGAACGCTTTTTTTTTTATTCGAACGTACTTCAGCATTTGGCTTATCAGCTTCGAGTCAGCTAGGAACTTTTTATGAGAGAGCGCAATCAGAAAACCAAGGCTGCTCTCGCCTTCTCTCTCTCTCTCTCTCTCACTCTCTTCGACTCTCTCTCTCTTGTTTTGTTTTTATTTTGCGCTCTTGATTAGTGGGATTTCGCGCCTTGGGCTTATCATAGAACGTAATTTGTATATATATTGTGTTTATTCTGTTTTAATAATTCAATAAATGGAAAATAATAATAGCTAAAAGTAAGTAATAAGATGTCGGTTATATTTTTAGTAGTTGTAGTTGAAATGTAATAGCTGAGCTACAAGTAAGGCGCTAAGGTACAGCTCAGTTATTGCTTTTGCTTTCCTTCGCCTGCCCGTTTTGGGTTTTCCCTCTACCCTTGCCTCATTTCTTGTTAAGTTCTTTTGTTACTCGCCTTTGTTGCAATTGTTTTGATTCGAAGTCTATAAAGTTTTCTCATTGAAAATACAGGAATCTTTGTGGCTGCTGTAAGCTTGTATTGCTCTCCAAGTGTCACGTACGTGTGCGTGCGCGTATGTGTGTGTCCATTAAAAGTTTACACTTTTTGGGGGTTAATCGCTGGCATCAAAGTGGTTGCTTTGGTCGGCTGGCGGCTGGCGGCTGGCGGCTGGCTCGCTTTCTGGATGGTGGGCGGCGATGTGTATCTATCTATTAAAAAATCGAGGCGAATCGAGCGAATCACGTCCCGGAATGGGTAAAGACGATGCCCGCTAACGCCGACGCCGACGACAGCGACAACGAGCCGCGACGATGACGACGACATCAAATATTTTGAGCGCAGCTTGCGCTCTCTCAGGAAATTGTTTTTGTTCAAGCAGCAGCGGTAACGGTAACTGTAACCGAATGACAGCAAAAATTAACGCCAATAACAATACGAGGCGCGAGCGTTGTCTTTGGGTGCAGCTCGGTTTCCTTCGATTCCAGTTGCTCTTCCTTGCTGCATCTGTGGACTTGCATGGGCATGCACAGAAAAAAAAACCAAATTAAGCGAATAAGCAAATGGAACTGCGAAACAAATTAGCCTTGCCATATTTCATGAAAGTAAACCATCTGGCAGCTTGTAAATCTTTCGAGTCATTTGCCATATATGTATATTCATGGCACTTGCTGTTTATTTCTGTGTGTTCTTTGTCGGTTGCCTATTCCCAATTCTCTGCTCTGTTTCGAGCAGCTTCCGATGCCTGTTCAGGTGGGGCATAAATTATATTAGACTAAAACTTGCCCACTGCCACCCCCATTAACCCTTTTCCGCCTACAACAATATGGCGTCAACGGATGCGGTTTTTGGCTCTGTGGTCATGTGTGTGTGTGTGCGTGTCTGTGTGCGTGCCTGTGTGTTTGTCCAAGTCTATTGCACACGTTTATTTAATCGATTTCGGTAACAGTTGTGTTGCCATTTTCATTAAGGGTTATTCCGGCTTGATCTGAGCAATGGCAGTGACACAACAATGAGGCCCATGGAACACAAACTAAACGCTGCGCCTTGTTCGGGCGCAGGACGAACGCAT